CTTATCTAAAGTTACTCTGAAAGCTGTACTTTTGCACAATGGAACACTAAGCCTTCAATTCCTGTTACTCATTCTGTGAACATGAAAGAAACGTATTAAAGCTTGCAAATTATATATTCTTAAATGCAATTTTCAATGAGCAAATTTATTACAGAAAAGGTTATTTTCACAATTTATAAGAATATTTTGAATAAATCTATCATAACTCGAAAACTAGAGGTAATCAGTAATTTTGAATATGAGTTTTTGAACCAGCATCATCAAATTACTCAGAAACAGTTGCATTTGTTTTCTAGTAGCAGAGAAAAATAATTCAAGTGTAATTAGTCTATATAGCATAATTCTGTGTGTTAAGGATAATAAGCCAGTTTGTAGTTGACTAAGAAATAAAAAAGGTTTGTTTGTTTGGAATTAAGCACAAAGCTACACAATGGGCTATCTGTGCTCTGCCCGCCACGGGTATCGAAACCCGGTTTCTAGCGTTGTAAGTTCGCAGACATACCGCTGTGCTACTGGGGGGCAATAAAAAAAAGGTACTTACTATAATACAGTAAATATAGGTTTCTTTTTCCATATTACTGAGTTAAGCGTAGCAATAAGCTAAGCAGTGGGAACAATAATGCCCAATATTCGGGACAATAAAACATGAGTAACTGCCGGTGGTTGTTTTTTATATTCCTTTTAATCAGTCTATTAAGTATACAAACTAGATTTTAAATAACATGCATTTAAAACCGGAATTAAAGATATATCTTTTTGGCTGCCACAAGGCACTACCCAGAAGACTTTTCGTTGATTACCAGAACTAGTCAGCTGAATGAAATCGTAATGGCATCCAACAGTTTTTCTTTGAATTCCGACATCCGTATAACTTTTTGATGCAGGACAGACTTTCCGAAATTTCCAAATCACAATCTTCGCTCACACTCTCCTCCAGTGGCTGAGTGGTTTCGATACCCTTGATGGGCAAATCACAAACAGCCCACTTTGTAACTTTACACTTAGCAACAAACAAACACAATCTTCATCCCTTTTTTGCTTTCAATTGGTGCATTACATGCCAATAAAAACCGCTGTACCTACTGTTATCTGTGATATTAACGTACTTGCAGATTTTTTTTATTGAAACCATCGTGGTAATTACAAATTTGATAGTACAACACTTAAAAGATTCAGGTTAGCAGAAGTTCTATCAAAACATGACAAGCATTCACTTGCTATAGATTCTGAAAGAGGGTCAGAAATTATCTAACTTATGTCGACTTTATTAATTCCAATGTAGCCATAGGTAAAAGGGAACCACTTGTGAGGTCTGTGGCAGCGTACTCTTTTCATGCATGTAGGTCCTATGGAAGATCTGGGATACGCAAGTGCTACAACGCCACTAAGAATGCTTGCACCACTATTGTGTAGTGATAATAGCTTTATGCAGTTTTGAAGTGATGGCAAAATAGGGACCTTGAAGCAGGAAAGTTAGCACTTTGACCGTGTTGGGTCAAGTGAGAGAAAACGTGTTGAGAATGTTATGACAATCGATGAGTGACTGACTTCGGTGAAGCGTCTGCATGTACAAGTTTCCACTGATATCAAGGAATCTCAAATAAGCACATTTCCAGGGTCTTAAAAACGTATGTTTGGTCAGCAGTCCAATATGTTGCCTGGTGGTTAGGGCTCTCTCTTCGCGGTTTCAAATCCTATCATTGGACATGCTCGCCCTTTCAGCTCTGGAGGTGGGGTTATAATGTGAGGGTGAATCCCAGTTTTTATCGGTAAAGAATAGCCCAAGAGTTGGCGATGGGCAGTGCTGATTGGCTGCCTTAAATCTAGTTTATCACTTCTAAATTAAGGATAGCTAGCGCAAGTAGCCCTTGAGTAGCTTTGCGCGAAATTCAACAAAAACAAACAAACAAACCATTATGCTGTTTCCACAAAGAATATACTCCTCATACTTGGTTTCAATGTAACAACCTCAACATCTTGAAATGGCTCACCCATACCCATAACTTGACATAATATACATTTGAACCAACTGGGGGAGCTAATTTAAAAAAAAAAGAGAGAGAGAGAGATCGCGGCGTTACAGTCTTGGTCAGCTGTCAAACTTTTGAAACATCGAAACAACGTCTTGCAGGCTAGTAGCAGTTATTCAGGCCAAAAGCGATGCTACGCCGTATTACAAAAGTTACCACTAGTTCCCCATATGACTACTTATGTCGAGATATTAACGTTTTGAAGGCTAGTAGCAGCTATTCAGGCCAAAAGCGATGCTACGCCGTATTACAAAAGTTACCACTAGTTCCCCATATGACTACTTATGTCGAGATACTTTTGGAAAGATGATGCACGTGTATAATCGTCAACCGCTAATGTCCAAGAGACTTTCTAACTGTTCTTTGTTTTCTTATTATTCTCTCTTAATAATATATATAGTTGATAATGTTCGTGAGACATAAATTCAAATTCTGCCAAAATCCCATCTCTGTTGCAGTGAATAACGTCGTCCAACATCATTCTGCCTAATGATATGAAAATATTAACTGGCACATACATCATGACAAAGTCATGGCGTAACATTTTTCAACAATAACTATTCTGTGTGATAAGCACTTTTTATTTTGTTATTAATATAAACATTGGTTTCACAGTTCCAGAAGCAAATTACGTAATAAAATTGCCTCTATTCTTCATGTCATATATATATATATAATCCATATTCACTATTTGAACGCTTATTTTCAGTTTAATGGACGGTGCCAGTTTCGACAACCTAACTCATTTTTGTACCTTCAGGACAGAAAACAACAATAACCTTTAAGTCATTAATTCTAGGTATATGCATACGTGTGTCAAGTGGAGATGTTTTTGATGATTCTATACTGATTATCACTAGTCGCTGTCCAGACGTTTGTGTAGACTATTTCTGCTAACTGTCCAGAGGTATATGTAAGTTATCTCTGTTCACTATCCAGTTTAGGTATATTATCACTGTCCAAAGGCTTGTGTAGACTATCTCTACTAACTGTCCAGAGGTTTATGTAGATTATCTCTACTCACTCTCCAGTAATTTATGTAGATTATCTCAACTTCATTATTTAGAGTTTATGTAGGTTATCTCTACTCACTCTCCAGTAATTTATGTAGATTATCTCTACTTTACTATTTAGGGTTTATGTAGGTTATCTCTACTCACTCTCCAGTAATTTATGTAGATTATCTCTACTTTACTATTTAGGGTTTATGTAGGTTATCTCTACTCACTCTCCAGTAATTTATGTAGATATCTCTACCTCATTATTTAGGGTTTATGTAGGTTATCTCTACTCACTATCCAGAGGTTAATGTAAATTACTAAACACTTTTAGTCTTCGTATGCTATCCTAGGTATGTTTTTCACTTTGTTCTTTTAAATCTATGCTCCTGAAAAAGCTAACACATTAGATTATCAATACACATAAAGTTAAAAAACAGTTGAAAACCAAATATCGTGGATTAATCTCAGTGAAAGAGGATGAAAGAACCATATTTATATTGCTTCATCATACAATATGTAACTCAAATCAAGAAAAAGATAACAGAAAAATCATATTACCTTATACTCGTTTATAATGCTGATTTAATCCAAGAGAATGATAGTATCACGTTACAGATTTTGTATCTAAACGAGTGGAAGAAAATATCAAGTTGCCTTATCCTTTCAGTAACACAAACTTATCCAAAAGAATGAACATTTATTACGTAACTCTTTTATACCACAAAGTTTCAGGAGAATAGAATGGAAATATCATATTACGCTACAATTTTGTAGCATATGTCCATCCACAGATGTTAAAAATAACGCAGCAGTTTAGTTAGTAGCACGTTTCTGCGTTTAAAATATTAAAATTAGCATATATTTTACAAGAATAAAATACGTTCGTTTTTACCTTTTTATTTTTTTTTCTCATCGTGATAAAGCAAAACTAGCTATTTTCTATATACTAATTATTTGCCCCCCAGTGGCACAGCGGTATGTCTGCGGACTTACAACGCTAGAAACCGGCTTTCGATACCGTGGTGAGCAGAGCACAGATAGCCCTTGTGTAGCTTTGTGCATAATTAAAAACAAAAAAAAACTAATTATTTATAACATTAATGAAATATTTATAAGGTATTATGGAAAAGAATGTTTTTAAACAATTTTTTTAAAAAAAAAACCACCATCAAAAGTATATTTTCCAGCATTTAAAAGTTTTTGCAACTGCAAAGTAAATAGTAATTTCTTTACTAATATATTTGCTAGTTTTTGGTAAGTATCTTCTGGAAACCTGTAATCGTAAATGTAAATGTGCAGTCACATATGCCTGTACTTATATAATTAGAATTACATAGTTGTATAAGTATTGTGGTGGTTGCATCTCTGTAATTAAAATGTTAATAGCGCCACTCTTAGCGGTTAAATAAATACTTACTTTTGTTGCTATAAAGGTTTTGATGCATATGTCTAAACGCATGACTGTAGCCAAACATCTGTAAAGACTATATTATTTTCTAGCCACATCATTTATTTTGTTGCATGTTCAAAAATCTTCATCTGGATCCCATGAGCTTGTGTATAAACCATCAAACCGCATGGCACGTGGCACGGTTGCTTTCAAAACTTGTCGCCACGTGCATTTCCCCGCACGAGTCTAAGGTTCAGTAGAACAGTGTCCGCATTTGCTAAGCACCAAACGAGTAATGATGACATTTTGTTTAGTTCACGTGCGCTTCTAGATGCTTTCAGCAAAAGAAGCAACCTTCGTTCATCAGAATTGTAAAGATCGAAAGTTGTTGTTGATTGGCTAGAATCGCTGGTTGCACCGACAGCTATGTAAGGGTTTTGAAAGAAATGGTCGATGAAAATGTTGATTAGTTCGTGGTGAATGCTGTAGTTGGATTGGTCAGGTGGGCTTGACAAGTCAGCTGCAGTTTCTATAAATGAGAAATGTCGAAGTACAAGAAGTCCTGCCTGAAACCCGATTTCTGTCAAGCGCAGCCCTCGCCTGAGTCCCTGTCTCTTGTTCTAAGTTTACAAGAGTCAGCTTGTACTGATAGGAGGGCCTAGTTAGCACTTGTGTTCCCAGCGGCCTAGCGTACTACCTGCTATATTACCTTCCATTTTCATAATTTCGATCTCTAAAATACATTCTACTATCTTGCCGAGGGCCACCAGAGACTTAGGAGTGGAATATAAAAGCGTTACTAATAAACAATACACGATGTCAGCACCAGGTCTCACTTACGGTTTCACGGGTAGAACCAGCGACGATTTTCCTCCCTCTGAGTTCAGTTACCCGGACTTGGTGTCCCCACAGTCTTACGGCAGTCACGGCCAGGCAGCTCCTTACACAGTCGACGTTCCATCTCACCTGGCCTCTTATCCTGCCGAGCGTGTACAAGTAGATAACCCTCCTGCTGCTGCCATGCCGCCTCGGCCCTGCCGCTACGAAGAGTCTTCCTGTACGAGAGACAGTCCACTTAATGCGGCTCCTGCCCCACATGATATAGGAGACCGTCCTTCGTGTGAATATGCGTCTCAGGGTCTGACTTCTTTGCAATACACCTCGTGTATGACAGGTAAGACATTTATACACGCTTATCCAATTTCCTCTACTCTATGATCTTGAGCATTTTGTCCCTCACGTCAGTTTAATTCATACACAGCAGAAAAGTGGAGAATGGTAATTGAAGCCTTATATGTAGAAAAACAACCGATGTTTTCTGCAACATCCGTAATTGATAAGGTTTATCTAAATCCTTTAAAGAAACTCAAGTAGTTTCCTCGAAGGTCACTCCCTTTTCATCTAAAGTGGTTTGTGAAAAAACAAAAAAATATTTTAACCGGTGCGTTAATTTCCTATCCCGTTACAGTTTTATAGCTTTTCAAAAATGAAAGATACCACCCCGTTGTTATTCTATTTCTTAATATTTTGCGCTCACCAAACGTTTCTTTTATAAATCATTTTTAGCTCTTTAATATAAACTTAGGTATTTTTCCTAATGGAACGTTTATTACGAGAAGAAAATATTGTCCGGCGAGTAGAATCCGTTACGGAATCATCCGCTTGATGGAAGCTTTGCACGTTTTATTCTATACATTTCTTAAAGTTTGGTGAATTTAAATACAAATTAGAATAACAGCGTTAAAACGCAGAACTGTATTTGGAAATCCTTGATACATAAAAAAACGTTCCTCAAAATACAGAGCAAGTAGCATTTCTCAATACTTTATATAAATATGTATCGTGCCATTATAATGTTTTAGCTTTTTCCTATCTCTAGCGCTATAAGCTGATATTTTAGACTATATTCCAAATATTCCGAGTTTATTGTTAGTGTTCCTTTACACATTAAGGTGCAATAAGAGAGTGTAGTGAGCCAATTTTGACATTCCCCGGTACAACCCGCACGCCAAGCGAGTGATATACTAATTCAACAAAAGGATTCATTCCCTAGTGTCTCCGGTGAGACGGTAGTAATTTTACGGACTTACAACCCAAAAATCAGGGGTTCGATTTCCCGCCGTAGACAGAACACAGATATCCAATTGTGTAGCTTTCCACTACGGAAAACAAGATTTCCCTAGCTTTTGCTAGTAAAACACTTTTTTAAAACTAAAATTACATATCTATCATTATACAGAGTGAAAGAGAAAACTAATTATTCAGTCATCGTCTCTTTCCGAGATGTTATCATAATTGAAGAATTTCAATACTTACAATGTTTTAAACCTATAAGGAAAATGTCATTAGAACTTAAGCCTTTATAAACAATAAATTCTGAAGCTTCTTTTAGCTCTTTTTCGCTTTGTCATCATCATTGCTCATGCCATTTGAAAGCATAAATGACATCTCAGCTATTACAATGTCTGTTATATCCAAGTGACTTGTTAGCCGTGGTATTGGCAATGGATATAGCAAACATAGGTTTATGTATTGTAATGCATTTTTCTTTACTTTCACTCTTAAGATCACAGAATTAGCGTGTAATGTTCAATTTGCTTGTAATATTCCATATTTGTAATCGCTTCATATCTTACATTTTTGAAAAGCTAAAAAACGCAAACGTTTTAACTTTAAAACGCACATACGTGCCCTTGTAACCTTCCTCGTTTATTTTAATGTCCCGGCACTACATGCAATTGAAACTCAGATTTTCCCAGTCCTGATGAGAATAAGGTACACCGAGCCAGGCGTGGCTTAGTGGTTAGCATGTCGGGCAGCGAATCGGAGAGTTCAGGGTTCAAGACACGATACCGCTGAATACGCTTTTCACCTTCATCTGTGGGCACGCAATAAAAGTGGCGGTCAATCTCATTATTCGGTTCAAAGAGCTAGACAAAGCTCTTGTGTCGTCAGGTTCTCCTATCTTCCTTCTGGTTAGTAGTCCAAAATTAAGAAATTTATACCTGAACCCTAGGAATCTTTGACCTGGCCATTTAGCCTACATGCGTATAAAATGCCATTGAAGTTGAAAGTTATAATTTTAATATACGTCTCTCTCTCTTTTTTTTTTACAACTCTAAATAAAATTTCAAATAAATGCTTTTTACTGTTAATATACGTATGTTAACTGTTACTCGTACTTTAGCCCTTAGGAATTTCTAATTTTATAAGCAATTTGGGCTCAAGTTTAAGTTTTTTGACTTTGCATTTCTTTTAAGATCATTTTTAATCTTTTTCCTTTACTGACATTTTCCTTGATCCTGAATTCCACTTCTCTGTTTTTCATCATCTCATTAGATTTACTTGTATATAATACACTGATTTTCTATGATTAAGAAACATTATGGATTTTATCGCAGAAAAGGCAGCTCTTCATAAGAGATAATTGTTATACTATTCCAACCTGTAAAATGCTAAAAAACCTGCAACTATTAATAAAAAAAATTAATAATTAGACTTTGGTGATCGTATAGGTTACTAACTATGAAAAGGATATTTGATCGCCCCAATCTTATCGCAAATAGTGAGATAACTTTATTTGATTACCAATGTTTATATAGTTGTTATCAGACGTCTTTTTGCTAATAACAAAAGCTTGGTTTGTTTTGTTTTGAATTTCGCACAAAGCTACATGAGGATTATCTGCGCTAGCCGTCCCTAATTTAGCAGTGTAAGACTAGAGGGAAGGCAGCTAGTCATCACCACCCACCGCCAACTCTTGGGCTACTCTTTTACCAACAAATAGTGGGATTGACCGTCACATTATAACGCCCCCACGGCTGAAAGGGCGAGCATGTTTGGTGGGACGGGGATTCAAACCCGCAGATTGCGAATCGAGCGCCCTAACCATCTGGCCCTGCCGAGCCAATAACCAAATATATAGAACTTTAGAAGTAATGCGTTACAGAACACTATTTTGACAAAGTTTGGGGGAAAACAGTTAAATGTAGTACGATTAAAGCAGCAGTAAAATTGTTAATAACGAACAGATAAAATAAAATAAACATATGTTGATTAAAAATATATATATTACTCGCAATTCCTCATTTTAATTAAAAATTTTTGCCTATTTTCTACGTTCCATATGCATTCCATACTCCATTTTCAGACTGGTATATTAAATTAGCTACATTATATGCTGGGTTAATTCTTAGCCGCGATCTACGTAGGTGGCTTGCTTTGGTTAGAGTGTGTTTGTAATTAAGCACAAAACTACACGATGGGCTATCTGTACTCTGCCCACCACGGGTATCGAAACCCGGATTCTAACGTTGTAAGTCCGCAGGCATACCGCTGTGCCACTGGGGGGCTGGTTAGAAGTTATTTATAATATAATATATTCTATTTAAAAATAATTCAGTTTGGATAACAACGTTACTGTCATTATTAAAATGTTTTTGTCAAACATTATGTCTGTACTTATAAATAACGTTTTAATTAAATACGAAATTTTTTACTTAATATCATTTAACGCAGTATTCACTATTTCTAAACATTTTACAAATGATTCTAAAAACATTTTGTCGTCTTGTGATATTTAATTTCAAACGCACAACACTTCAGTTTAATACAATTGACATTCAGAAACTGAATTTTCAGAAATATATGCAGCAACTGTCATTATTTTATTTTTTTTTACTTTTGCCGAATTACATTTCCAGTAATGATCAATAATAACCAAGCTAATGTTTTGTACACATATTTCAACTGGATTATTTTGGAATTGATTCACAGACAGATTGAAAACAAATGAAATCACTTTGAAAAACATGATAATTCAAATTTTCAAAATTAATTTCTATAAAAGATTGTAAATCCAGTAGAATAACTTGCTGAAGTTTAGTTTATTTCAAGTGATCATGATTCCAACTAAACCTTTTTTGCAATTTCACATTGCGTGTGTAACTTAATAATAAAATCTCCTAGCTCGTATACGTTATTTCGAATACTAAGCCTTATGTAACTTCAGTTCTTTTATCTTTAACTTCATGATGATTATTTTGAGAGACTAACGTTAGTCTTGTGCTGCTCTAGAGAAATTCAGATCTAATTCTTGTTCAGATCAATCAAAGCAATCGACAAATTTCTTTAATGCAAGACAACATAATATATTTAAAACATGTAACAAGGAAACATTAACCAAATAACAACAACATACACCTGCACAACACTACACAGAGAATTAATCACAGCTGGTTACAATAGAAACTGCAGTGTCGGACAAGAGTGCCTAGTCTTGACCTTCAGATCGAGCATGATCCACAAGGGAGAAATTAGTTCCGAGAACAACTCGGGGCTTTCAGCATCGTTCTTATAACGTGCGATGGACATTCCGTAATATACTCATTTGGAGATTTTGTTTGTTTGTTTTAGCGCAAAACTACATAATAGAATATCTGCGAAATATTCGGATATTCGAGCCATGGATTTTAGCCTTATAAGCACGTAAACACGCCGCTGAACCACTGAGATACTAATGTTTGGAAACCTTTAAAAGATGCTTCACATACGTAAATTTTAAAATTGTACTTTAACGTCAGGATATGAATATCAGTTAATCAGTCAGGATATCAGTTAATATTTGAAATTTTACAGGGAGGTTTTTAAAAATAGAAAGATGAAAGCGTGTCAATGATGGGACAAAGGTTAAAACTGTATGCAGAATGAACGTCAACCTTTTGAAGACTCTCTTGTTCTATAAGTTAATGAACTGGGCGTAGCCTAGTGCTTAGCGTGTCGGGCTACAGTATCCTTAGGTCAATGATACGAGACGTGATGCCACTGAACACGTTTTGCACTTTCAGCCATGGGCGCGTTAGAAAAATGACACTTAATCACACTGTTTGGCTCAAATAACCAGACATAGTCCTTGTGGCGACAAGAGCTGTTGACTAATTGTCTTCCCTCTGTTCAGTACTTCGTGTTATGGTTTGGTTTGTTTTGAATTTCGCGCAAAGCTACGCTAGAGCTATCTGCACTAGCCGTCCCTAATTTACCAGTGAAAGAGTAGAGGGAAGACAGCTAGTCATCACCCCCACCGCCAACTCTTGGGGTTACTCTTTTACCAACGAATAGTAGGATTGACCGTTACATTATAACGCCTCATGGCTGAAAGGGCGAGCATGTTTGGTG